AATATAGGTAGTGAAGATCCGAACTTGAGGCTTGCAGCATATAATTTACTTGTAGCTTTGAGTCTCATATTTAATTTTGACGTTGGTGGTCAATTACTTGCTGCAAAAGGTAATTTGTCGCCGTACCATCGAAAATTCTCTGCTAAATTTATATTAATTATACAAGTGTACAATTTTTTAAAGGGCTATGTATTCCGGCAAATAATACAAATTTTGTCGTAAATTTAAGTGAGAGGCTTGCACAATCAGAACCACATCTTACGCAGGATTTCTTATCCGAATTCTTTGTCGGATTTAGTAAGTCTAGCACACCTTTGAAACATTTGTGTCTTCAATACATGGCACCTTGGCTGTCCAATTTGGCATATTTCAGCAGAAATGGTGCAGACAATCAAAATCAAAGCGAAAAAACAAGAGAAATAATCAAGAACTTGATCGAGCTAACGGCAAAAGAAAATGAAGTATGATCATCAATTCATATTAATTTATTTTAATTCTATTTACAATGATTTCTAAATCAGTCATAATTTTTATTTAATTAGATGTATAGTACTATTCAATCTAAAATATGGCAAACTTTAGGAAAAGTTGACGAAATTACAAATATAATAATTGATGAATTTGTTCAATATGCTGTTCATCACGGTATAAGCTCAATGCAATCCGAAACAGTTGCTAATACCATTGTAACATTATCTTCCATAAATATTCGTGGCAAAATAATAGCCAAATTACGACAGGTATTTATGCTGTAATATCAGTAAATATGTGACTTATTCTCATATATATTTGTATTTCTCATTTACTTTCTAAACCATAAATAATTAAATCATTTAACTAGTTTATTGCACGAACATCATTAAATTCAACAAGGACACTTACAGAAAATCCAGTATGGCCGCAAATAGCTGTTTTAGTTCGGTTCAATTTAATGCTATCATTTAACAATCGCAATGTTCATATGTTTTTACCGGAACTATTTTATGTAATTTCTATACTTGTTGCCACTGGTCCGCCGCTAATAAGAGCATCAATCCATGGACTTATTGTAAATTTAGTTCAATCATTGTGCACATCAATGACACTAAGTGAAATGAATATAAAAAGATTGAATATACTATTAACTGAATTATCTGAGCCAAATTTCAGATACTTTTTTGGTCTAAACAATGTATCCGGAAATGCATTTGTTATATCTCAGGAGTCTGCTAATGACTTGCCAGATACAATGCCTCTTGCTTCTCTTGAAAAAATAGTTCAAGCACTCTTGGAAGTAATGATAAGTGGTGCTGGATCTGTTGGTAAATTATAATCCTTATCAATTTTGTAAACTTTATAAACACATATTTCTTTACTATTTAGTGATGATTTTTATGATTTGACATTTATTTTTAGATATGTCAAATATGTGGAGAGCACGATGGATGGGTCTAGTTACAAGCACTGCATTTCAGAATAACCCAGCAATACAACCAAGGGCATTCGTAACTCTTGGTTGCCTAGCTCGTGAAGAAGTTGATGATGATCTCCTATATCAAATATTAGTATCATTAACTAGTGCATTGGCAAAGTTTACTGAGAATGATTGTTCTCTCATCATCAGCATTGTAATGTGCCTCACTAATATTGTAGGAAATTTACTCAGTGATAGCCGTTATTTACAACCAATGTTTTGGCTAGCAATGGCTCTTGTTCAAATAGGTCACATTCCAATATTTCCAAGCGCTATTAATTTATTGCATGAGGTTCTTAAAACGTTGGACAATCATGGTTTTTTTGCTACTGAAAACATTGCCACTGTTCTTATTAGGGCACGTGAACCTTTAGAAACGGTTGCCATTAAAATGGATAAGGAATGTGGAATTAATTACAATCACTTTTCATTTGCAGTAGCGGCTACACTTCTGAAAGGATTGAAAAATCCAGGCACAAAAACCGGTACACAGGCAGTACTTACATGTTTCTTGGACATTGCTTCAAAAGGTGTGTTAGGTGAACGAGCGAATAATAATACAATAGATTCTAGTATGTTAGGATATCTAGCAGCTCTTTTGCCAGTATCAGCAAAAAATGCGGATATGCGAGAATTGCTCTGGCTCTGTGGGATATTTGATACTGAAGTAGAAAATTCTGAACTTGGAACAACATATTATAAGATTTTTGAAAATTTGGACATTCCTGATAATCAGACAGGCTTATTATTAATTTCTTTAATGGTTGCGATGCTGAAAACAGCAGAGAATGAGCCAGAAAGACTATTTCTTTATGGATTTCTCTCTGAAGCTGCTGTAGCATTACCTGAAGTGTTTGCTTTAGTGTATCCTTTATTTATTAAAATCGTCTTTGTGTTTCTAATGTTAATTATATTATTTGACCTTAACTTTCTAATAGTTATGACAGCCTACTTCCTAAGATGTCACAAATAATCAATAGCAGTGAGACAATACCAATTCTTGATGCTGTTCAATCCATTTTGTACACGGCTGTTTCATCCGAAGGACAATACGGAAGCAGACAAAATGTAGTTGCAAATGGTAGAATAAACCAGATGCCATCATACCTTGAAGAAATTGGTTTCATTAACTTGATGGAATGTGGATCTTTCTTAACTAAAGAAAAAATGAAAATTAATGCAACATATGCGAGCGAATTGGTGAATATAGTTATATCGAATTAAAAATAAAAAAATAAAAAAAAAATAAAAAAAAAGGAAAAAAATGTATATTATAAATAAACATACCAACACTCATAGTAAAATAAGTTAGTTTTTACATCATTTTTATATAAATATTTAAATAGTGTTTCATTACTAAACTTCATTAAGAATACTGATTTTT